CGACTAGGGTGTGGCATACACGTGATTCCTGGTGATGGTACATATGTGACGTCACACTACGGCACAATGCCTGGAGGAAATGTGTTGAATGATGAAATCCAAATCCCAACTGCAAAAGCTCCTGGTAAGAATTCACATCTTCACAACGTTTCCCTCCCCACGAACGTCTGCTTAATACTTGAGCAGAACATTCCTTTCTAAAAATTGACCAATCAGCATGAACCTTTTACTGTGCGGACACACTAACCGGGACCAATAGAATAAAACTGACCAATCAGATAACAGTAACCTGAGAGATTGAACTGATAACAGCGGCGTTAGCCAATCAGATGATCACGTTCTCACGCTCTTATTCATCGATGCGCTATCTGATTGGCTGGTTAAGAAAATCAAACTAAATGTTGCAATGTGATTGGTTAATGGTACTAGTTTATCAAAGTGTCAGTCCAGGTTGGATAATCCGCACAGTACCACCTCTCGAAGTGAAATCTTAGATTTTGTCCCCAAATATCTCCAAAACTAAAAGCCAAATCACAGAAATGAATGGACCGTCTGTCTGCATGTATGTTAAAAAACATATTTGTGTATAGAAATTGCCACTGCAGACCCCCAGTATCGAGCATTTGAACAGGTCTCTGAGGGGGAGGGGGTATGTACCGGTACCCACCACCTTAATTCATAAAATCGGGTCCCTATTTTGGACCGATTGTTTTGATTTCGCCTTTAAGGTGGCTCGCGCCTATTTCACAGGGAGATAAGACTACTAATCTAATCATATGTTTTGTGTAGGAAATCGCACGATCTCGAGTACGATTCGGAATTTATAGGTACGAGTGATGTTTTGAAAGTTTTCAAAATTGGAAGAGTCTTTAGGCGAGTATCTATAAATTCTGAGCTGTACGAGAAGATCATGCGATTTATTGTTTATGATACACTCAACAAAATTGATCAACTTAATTGGGACTCTACAGAGTACAATTTGGGATTTAATTGTACTCCTCTTGTCCTATCAGAAACGAGTAATATTTTGTTGAGTGTTATAAATCGAGGAAACGTTTTCCGATTTCCGCGAATTTTTGCGACGTGATAAAAGGATGTTTGAACGTTATATTTAAGGAGAATGGATATTGAAAAGTTTGAACGATTCAGTGAAATAAGCAATTTTCTAAACGAGGTCATAACATAACAAATCTTTGCTTAAAATCTTCACATCGCCGGATAAAGACTAGCAGTTGGAGCAGTAGCAGTCGAAACGTCGCGGTCCACTAACTGCCACAATTGTAAGGCAAATAAGCCTGAAGCGAGATGACGTTTTACCCCCGTCTCTAGACTATAATCCTTTTCACACTGCTTTTGTTCTTTAATTATAACTATTGTTCATGTATTCTCTAAGGAATCAAAAATTTTAATATGAAAGAATTTTAAAAACTATTATGGTATAGAGTCGGGGGTAAAACGTCATCTCGCTTCAGGCTTATTGAATAAGTCTAATCTTTGTTTTAAAATCTTTCCCTCTCCTCAAAGATAAGGGAAAAAAAATTTTTTTTCGTTTTCAGTAAACTACTAAAGTGTTTTAGTTTACATTCATTACAGCTGATACGATTGAATCCTTGCCGGGAAGTCGTTTGTTAAGTATCGACTACATTGTGTAGCACAAACTGATATAGTACGTACAATAGAGTCAGCTATCAAGACGAATACTGTTTCATTACTCTAATCTTTTATGTAAGAACAAACCTGGACATCCAAAGAAGCTCGAGCAAAAGAACCAAGAAGGATGAAGCCGCCTAGCAATAGAAAACATGTAGCGGAGTGAAGCGGTTTATCTTGCGTGCAAAATTAAAATACAAACTTTCAGTACTGACCTTCCATTGGGCTTATTATAGATTTTATATGAATTTATTTTGGACAACGGCAAAGACCAATCCCTACAACAGAGACTTACCAAATTTCAGCGAATACCTAGAACACTGTCAAGAAATGACCGACCAAATATCACTACTCCACATGGCGAACCAGACTCATGGTAAAACCAAGTGCATGCACGAGTTTGATGCTCCACCACATTCACACCTCGGCAAGCATATTTGAATACCTCAAGGGACAGATTGCCTCTTTTGCATAGGAGGTGTTAAAAATGAGATTCTTGATAGGATAAATCACCGACAAGGAAATTATTTTATGGCGCAAACGTATTTTGTGTTATCTATATTATACAGCAGGAGCTTTTTGATTAATTTCAAAGCACTTGCAAGGGAGTGCAAGGGCGTTCTTTATATTATATACGAAAATTTTTGTTCTTGTAGAACCTGCATGTCAGATTAAGTCTGGTCAGCGTGAGAAATGTGGAAATGTCTCCAGTCCCTTCATGACTCCAGATGTTTGTCTCAAAGCTGGCTGTTGCTATGACGATGTTTTTATGGATGAGCCCGATGTAAATTGGTACAGCAGCGAAGGAAGCACATGGTGCTACAAAGGCAAAAAACAAGGTAATGATATACATCTATTTCAAGAAACGCTGTTGGTTACAAATGTGATTATTTTCGCATTTTTAACGAGTAAGAAATTATAAAAGCACAAAATTCCGTATAGTCTCAGACTGCCCACCAGGTCTCTGACCGACAACGTTTTTTGAAATAGGTGTAACCGAAAGTCGACTATTAGCTGATGCTATGTAAACTTACTCTTTTAGATCTACAAACAGTTTAAAAATTGGTCTGCTTATAACCTGTTATTTTTAATCTTGTTTTCTAACCTTCCATAGATACAGGAAAACAAACAATCAAGACTAAAGATCTTGAGACACAAAACGTGGATAATAATGGTGAGATTCCTTGATTGTGTTGAGCTGTTTCAATCTAACAATCTAGTTTTATATATTCAGAATTTTGAAGTTGTCATTTCCAAATTTCCTCAGAGACCAGCGTAAATACTTCAATGGCGAAGACAAATAATCTTGAAAGTCAAAACTCACTGGACGATAATGGTAATTAACGATTGCATTTGTTTTTATGATTAATGATATAAAAACGCGAAGGGAAGGGCTTGCTTATAGTAGAATTCTTAATGAATGTACTAACAATACTACTACAACAATGCAATGCTATGGCCTTAGAGTATTCAAAATTAGTGGGAACTTTAGATCTTTGGGAGAACGTCTGCGTATTCACTTATGAGAACCGAACAAGAAGCACGTAGATACTCTAATAGTTAAGGTTGGCAAGGACTAAATATATATTTTTCAATTTTTTGGTATTCCTTGTAGGTGAACCAAAAGGATTTTTCAAGGATTGTCTGGACCAACACAACAAACTCAGGGCCAAACACGGTGTTCCTCCCCTCAAATGGTCCAAGAAACTCGCTGATAACGCCCTGAGAGTAGCTAAAATGAATGCTGATCTTGGCAGAATGAAACACGATCCCAAAAATAATAATGAAGGCGAGAACTTAGCATATTTTGGCCCACCACAGCCCAAGTGTGAAGGTCCCAAAGTAGGCAACTGCTTCCAGTGTCGAGAGGTGGTTGACGACTGGTACAGCGAAATCAAAGATTACGACTTTGCTGCTGGGAAAAGCAGAAACGGAGGAGTCGTACTTCACTTCACTCTAATTGTTTGGCGTAAAACGACTGAGATGGGCATGGCAACAGCAGTTGGGAACAACAAAGTGTTTAGTGTTGCGAGGTACTCAGAGAAGGGCAACATGTTACCAGAAGAAAACTTTGTCAAGAATGTACCACCCTTGGGCTCTGGCCCCTTGCCGACATCCCAGCCGGAAAGTACTGTGTCAAAGACTGGTTCTGTTTCACCTACAGGAACGACAAGTGCTGGTGCTTCCGGTTCTACACCGACGTTTGGTTCATCTACTAGCAGTATAACTACTGGAGGTAACTGTGGTAGAAAAAATGAACATCAGTTTGTGTCTTGATACTATTTCATTTCACGTTTTCGCTACGTATTAGAATAAGCAATTAGCAATCTTTAAACCAAAATGTGGAAACAATTTTACATATTATACGTATTATACTTAACTCGTTTATTAGGTGCTGGTGGCGATTGCTATGGAAACTCCTGCTATTCTTTTAACGGAGAGGGAAAAACGTGGAAAGAAAACAGGGAAGAGTGTAAGAAGAAAGGAGGAGATTTAGTCTCTATGGAGACGGATGGCGAATGGACATTTCTCAAGGACAAGATTCAAGGACTTAGCAATCAGTTGCGCAATGAGTGGCATATTGGTCTGAAAAAGGACGGTTCGACATGGAAATGGGTGAATGATGCTCCTCTGACAATCACTCACTGGCAAAGAGGAGAGCCATCTGGGGATGGACCTTACGTTGTGATGGCCAAAGATTACCCTCCAGGGACCCAAGGGCAATTCAATGATCTTGCTGATTACGTCCCTAGTGGATTCATCTGTGAGACAACAAAAGGTGCATATTCTTACTTATGTCACATTTTAACAACGTTTAGTGGTTTTTATCACTCAAGATCATGGAACACCTGATTACATAGAGAATCCACATGAATCATGTTTTTTTATTCATTGCGTAGAGGCAAACACATCGCCAACAAGTGGTGGTACTCCACCAACACCACAGCCACCTACTAATGCAATATCTTCCGCTGCCACTTCCTCTGCTACTACTCCTGCTACGACTGCTGCAACTAATGGTGCTACTGGACCGACGTCAAGCTCACCTACCACCGATATGGAAGCTGAAGGTAACGGAGAAGTTAATTAGCGCTTTTAAGTCAGCTTTATGATGGACAGAAGTACGCTGCTTTGCAAAATGTCTCAAAACTTTAAAAAATAATATCAAACTAAAAGGATAATGCTTTCCAAAAGTCTTCGCTAATCGACGAGAAAAAAGGACAAAAGGTATATCATACCAATGCGCAAGTGATTAAGCATCCCCAGAAAACATGGCAGGTTTGGCACATGCCAAAGAGTGCAATTGTCACTTGTTCATATTTTCCATTCCATTTTACAGTTACATTCAGTGAACACATGCACGAATAATAGTTCCTAGCTGAGGCTGGAGTTGCCGCGCATGATAAACTGTAGTTTTGCTATGCGCGCTATTATTCGTGGTCATTGAATGGAACAGTAAAATGGAATATTCAAATTCCTAACTCTGTAAACAGACCTGACGTTTTTTCATGAGGGAAGCTGTAATAGTAATGTTTGTCCATTTGTCTATTTGTTCAGTTTCTTGATTGATTCATTTATTCAGCAGGTAACGACTGCTTTGGTAGTTCTTGCTATTCCTTTAACGGAGAAGGACAAAAGTGGACTGAGAACAGGGAAGAGTGTAAGAAGAAAGGAGGAGATTTAGTCTCTATGGAAACAGATGGCGAATGGAAATTTCTCAAGGACAAGATTCAAGGACTTAGCAATCAGTTGCGCAATGAGTGGCACATTGGTCTGAAAAAGGACGGTTCGACATGGAAATGGGTGAATGATGCTCCTCTGACAATCACTCACTGGCAAAGAGGAGAGCCATCTGGGGATGGACCTTACGTTGTGATGGCCAAAGATTACCCTCCAGGGACCCAAGGGCAATTCAATGATCTTGCTGATTACGTCCCTAGTGGATACATCTGTGAGACCACAAAAGGTATATATTGCTATTGCTAAATATCAACGAATCTTAGTCCTGGAAAACTTGGTTAGCTTGTATATGAATTTAAAGGAAAGAATTTATATTACTTGCGCAGGGGCAAGCACATCGCCAACAGTACCTAGTGGAGCTATCACACCAACACCACAGCCACCTTCTAGTGGAGTAACCTCTGCTACTACCGCTGCTACTGCTGGTGCTACAACCTCTGCTACAACCGCTGCTGTTACTGGCGCTTCCACTGGTGTTGGTGCGACTTCGTCAGGTACGATGATATATTTATACTCTCAAACAAAAATTTATTCATTTATTGAAACCTCCGTCGTTTCAAGTACCAAGCCATTAGCCGGCAATTATAGATAGAGCGAGAGTGGTTAATGTGATATGGCGATGTTTGAAGAGTGAGCTGATAGCCGACCAGTTTACTTAGTTAGCTGAGCTTTGTGTGCTGTATGGGAGTTTTTATTCCCCACGATCTTTCAGACCTTCGTAATGGCTCTGCTAGTGACCCCCTAAAAAATATGATTGATATCTTTCTTTTCCTGCAGCTGAGCCAAAAGGATTTTTCAAGGATTGTCTTGACCAACACAATAAACTCAGGGCCAAACACGGTGTTCCTCCCCTCAAATGGTCCAAGAAACTCGCTGATAACGCCCTAAGAGTAGCCAAAATGAATGCTGATCTTGGCAGAATGAAACACGATCCCAAAAATAATAATGAAGGCGAGAACTTAGCATATTTTGGCCCACCACAGCCCAAGTGTGAAGGTCCCAAAGTAGGCAACTGCTTCCAGTGTCGAGAGGTGGTTGACGACTGGTACAGCGAAATCAAAGATTACGACTTTGCTGCAGGAAAAAGCAGAAACGGAGGAGTTGTACTTCACTTCACTCAAGTTGTTTGGCGTAAAACGACTGAGATGGGCATGGCAACAGCAGTTGGAAACAACAAAGTGTTTAGTGTTGCGAGGTACTCAGAGAAGGGCAACATGTTACCAGAAGAAAACTTTGTCAAGAATGTACCACCATTAGTATAAGAGTTGTTTAGCGTCGAGAAAGCTGTTAAACAGAGTATCTTACTACCACGTAGTTCTTTGTTTGTTTGAAAGTTGCTTTGCGTTAAGAAAGCGACACAGCAATGTATAAACAAGAATCAGGGTCCTCGTGATCATTGCGCATATTTTGAATGTTGGTTTACCTGTTATAATCTATGTACTGAAAGCATCGATACCTCTCGCATCAATTGTTTGACTTCTTAGAAAACAAATAAAAAAGTATTGGATTTTCACAAAAGAAACTTTCAGTTCCAAGCTTTTGTGTTTGATTCTCACTTTTTGATTGAAAAACTCCATGTTTTTTTGCACGTCAACCATGCGACTTTCTTCCTTCCGTCCAATCCTCCTTCCTTCCCTTATGATGTTAAGAATGGCCCTGAAAATTGTATTTTTTAGTTTCCCATTTGATGTAATTTGTCTTCAAAATCGGTCATTTTGGGGGCTCAGTTGTCCTTTAAGATAACGACACCGACCGTAAGTATGGTTTTAGTACAATGGTCTATTGGTTTGGAATAATACTTATTGATGGTTCCATAAAGCTCTCTTGTCATAAGAGAGGTTTATGGAACTATATGCATTGTCTTGTTTTGAACTATTATTATATTGTATGCAATAATGTAACTTGTAATTCATGTAGTGTTTATTTACTTTGTAATTATATTTATTTTATACAGGACTCTATTTAAACTAGCCTGTGCTATATTAGATATTCCTGTTAAAATATTGAATAAAATAAAATGAATAAACCGGGCTCGGTTCCCTTACTCCGGTTCGTCCCCGATTCAGACATACGATATTCAATAGAATGGGTCCTGCCCTACTTCCCTGTCGCGACTGTTGTCTCGACCAGGACGTAGCAATGAAAAGAGTGGTAATATTTTCTATGGTTTTGGCTCCCATGTAGTGATCTAGTACAAGGGGTGTATACTTCACGTTAAAGGTATCCTGCCCCCGCCTCTCCATATAACATTTTTGACAACCATGAAAAGATATCTTAATTATCATAAAGAACATTACAATTCAACGATTTTCATATTATGGCCCATAAATTAAATGGAACCAATTCTTGATTGGCAATCAATCCCAAGAAAGCACAATAGCAAAAGGGATGTCCGACATGTTGGAAGATATAACAAAAGAATTCATTGAAAAATCTTTTGTCAAATTCTTCCAACATGGCGGCTATGACATCTATTGCAAACGAAGAATAGAGTTATCGAAAAGATTTAAATTATGAATAACAGAGTAGTTCCATATATTTGTTTAGCTCGGCTCTTTTACCTGTAACAATCCCTTTTGGTGCTGGTGACGTACGTTAATTATTAATCGTATATTGGTGAGCTTAAGCAAAATAGTATCAAAATTTACTTTTTTAGAAGCTAAAAACAACAATCGCAACAAAAGCCTACAGATTTTGTAAGTGAGTATTTGATAAGTACTGAATGCCAAAATGATTGACTCTATGACAGGTGTCGATTCTGATCACCGCTCTTGACTAAACCTTCACATTTGACTTCCTAACCTGGGCACAGCTTAACCCTAAATAAGTTACGATGTTATAACTATGAAGACTATACAATTTTTGTTTTTGATATATTGCTTATATAATAATATAAACATTTAAGGAATATTATTTTTTCTTCGTGTTTCTACAAGAATTTGGTTGCCTGAAAGATTTGAATTTACTATTTATTGTTGTGCTCGACGGTAAAAAAATAGGACAAGCACCATTCAAGTGGATACTCTTATCCTACTACTTCACTGTAAACTGTTTCTACAATGATGTTACGTTTTTATCACGTGTTGTCTAATTTTCCAATCTGTTATCTTTTCTCATCTTCTCGTTTTTACCGGGGAAGTTCAGGTTTTTTTTCAGGTTCCCGTTTAGGATTTGAGTTCTTTTCTTCCTGAATATCAACGTTGCGTTTCAATTGCGTTTGGTAAATGAAAAGTCAAGAGGCACTTTGTTTGTTATTTGTTATTTAGATGTAATAAGAAATAGGTAATCTAAAAATACCATGTAATTCTGTATCTTCCATACTTAAAAGTGTGTAATATAGATCAACAATCATCAAGGACAAGCTACAGCACCAGTCAAAAGCAAGCTATGAAGATAGTACAGTTTGGGATACTGGTCGTTTGTCTTTCTTTTCGACGGATATCAGGTTAGCTTCAGGTTTGATATTATTAATGGTTTCTATTTAGTTTAATGTATTATTAATCTTGGTTTCTTGTCCTAACCATGTACTTTTGTTTCATACAAAATGACTCGGAATACGAATAGGAAGACCATCATGGACAGATGTTGGACGATGCGGTTCTGGTTTAGGTGGGTTGTTTCATTCCCGCATTTTTGGCTGAAATTCCTTTATGAAATTTTTCGCTCTGTCGTTAAAATCCAAGTGTATTTTGTTATTTTCATTGATTTCAGCTTGTGGACCAGAATGTCAGAAACTTTGTATGACACAGCATAATTATTATCGTGCTCTCCATAACCTGCCTCCTGTACGATGCGATCCTAACCTGGCCGAGTCCGCACAGGCCTGGACTGACTTGCAGGCTCAGAAAGGACAACTTAAGCGGTCTCCATGGCGAAATCTGGGTCAAGTGGCCGAGAGTATTTCGTGGAAACAGTGGGGTTGGGAAGGAATGGCGGATACAAGAGCTGCGGTACCGAGTGCCGTCAGAAGTTGGTAAGAACATTAAGTGTATGTCTTGCAATGCGTTAATTTGAAAAAGTCCTTAGTATTTTGACAAAACTCTACACTCCATATTATGCAAGGTACTCGGAGATAAAGGGAAGCATTGTGAATCGTACTGCAACGCCCGAGAACCATAAGACAATAGTCCGTCCAGATATCACTCGACTAGGGTGTGGCATACACGTGATTCCTGGTGATGGTACATATGTGACGTCACACTACGGCACAATGCCTGGAGGAAATGTGTTGAATGATGACATTCAGATTACAGCTGCAAGGCATCCTGGTAAGAATTCTCATGTGGCTACCTGTTTTATATTTTGAGACACAGGGAGCCCGTTTGATATGCTGTTTGATATGGAGGAAGAAGTAATCACGAATTTCTTCCTTATAGAGCCCGCGTGTCAGATCAAGTCTGGTCAGCGCAAGAAATGTGGAAATGTCTCCAGTCCCTTCATGACTCCAGATGTTTGTCTACAAGCCGGCTGTTGCTATGACGATATTTTTAGGGATGAGCCCGATGTAAATTGGTACAGCAGCGAAGGAAGCACATGGTGCTACAAAGGCAAAAAATATGGTAATGCAACAGCAGGATTGCAATCATTATATTTGGACTTATTTATTTTATATTCCAAATAATGTCCAATGAGTTCAAGATTCATTGACCAAAACAGTCAAAGGATCAAACTTTTCTTCTTTTCTAACTTTCCACAGATACAGGTCAAAAAAATCCCAAGAGTAACGATCTGGATAAACAAAACTTAGATAATAATGGTAAGCTGCCAAGCCGACGTTTCTTAGTGGCATTAGAATCTTACTTTTTATGGCTAAATTTATCTTTTATATAAATTTGATTTCATTTATTTCCAAATTTCCTCAGAGACTAGCGTTAATACTTCAATGGCGAAGATAAAGAATCTTGAAAATCAGAACTCACTGGATGATAATGGTAAAATACTCGATTATTACCCCCCCCCCCCCTGTAAGTTGATATATGAAGTACGTAAAAGTGGTTGTACCGCCAACATAAAGCCTTATTATCAAAAATGCAAATCTATATGACACAGTCAGGTTCCTCTCTGATTTTGGGAGCTACAGAATTTATAGGCTAATAAATAATAACTGGATTGTTTAATCAACTTCGCATCGTAAAAGTAGTGAAGCAGATTCGGCGTATCCAATTTACAGCGCAAATTCGAGCCATTATTACGGAACTCATACATGCAGCTGAAAACGACAAACAGAATTATCTTGTTCTTGCAACATCATTTATTTTAATCTTGTGTGGGAACTGAGCTCCCACGAATTTTCACCAACAGCAAAACTGTTTCGTCAATAAACGAAATATGACAAGCTACGGTTTCAGAACTTTATTCTCTTCTGACGTACATGAAGCTAGAAGCTAGAATCTAGTTGCTAGTTGGATATGCGAGTTGTTCGAAATCTAAAAGCGAAGCAAAAATAAAGCAAAAATAAAGGCGTTGATCATATCTAGAAGAATATATTCAAAGTTGAAGCGATCTGACTTACCCGGTAGCTTGCTCTGAAACACGACGAACTGAATTTAAATTAGCGTCACTTACTTATATACTAATGCAACTTAATCCGAGGCAAGCTACTCGTGCGTGCGTGCAAAAAGGAATCTATTACTGCATTCTATCATGCTTTTCGCGCATAACGAAACAAAAACGAACTAGAAAATTTTTAAGTTTCTTACTTGTTTCTTGATTCATTTTTCATCAGTTGCTGGTGGAGATTGCTACGGCAGTTCTTGCTATTCCTTTAATGGAGAAGGCAAAACGTGGAAAGAAAACAGGGAAGAGTGTAAGAAGAAAGGAGGAGATTTAGTCTCTATGGAAACAGATGGCGAATGGAAATTTCTCAAAGACAAGATTCAAGGACTTAGCAATCAGTTGCGCAATGAGTGGCATATTGGTCTGAAAAAGGACGGTTCGACATGGAAATGGGTGAATGATGCTCCTCTGACAATTACTCACTGGCAAAGAGGACAGCCATCTGGGGATGGACCTTACTCTGTGATGGCCAAAAACTACCCTCCAGGAACTCATGGGGAATTTAACGATCTACCTGATTGGATCCCCAGTGGATACATCTGTGAGACCACAAAAGGTATATATTCTGAGTGAGAAAATCTCAACGGATTTTGTACATGTCACCATGAGGTGATGCTCGGACTCACCCTTATGCAAAAATTTAACCTATTGTAATATTATCTTAATCTTTGATTTTATAATAAACTCAGATAAAAATCTATAAGGTCATTTATAGTTTTGTTTAGGACAAGGGATAATTCATCAGATAAAACCCTTAGTTTTTCCAACATTTATATTTTCGTGAATATTATAATCATAGATTCACCTTATTCCCCTTGGCCAATAATAGCTTAATAATAATTCACAATAGATCTTTGATTGACAGTTGTTCGTAACTCATTATAAATATAGCCAACTATATGGCTCTTGTAATCCGGAAGATTCGCGCAGTAGCAGACGAATAAAGCCAGGTTCGTCATATGCTAACAGTTACTTAGAATCCAAACAAATACATTCTTTAAACTTTTGCAGGGGCAAGCGCCACACCGACACCACAGCCAAATACTAGTGTAGTGACCTCCGCTGCTACTGGTGCTGCTGGAGCTACTAATGGTGCGCATAGTGCTACTAGTGGTACTAATCCTAAGGTTCCAAGCCCTGGACCGACGTCAAGTTCATCTGCCACCGACATGAATTATAAAGGTAGTAGAGAATGGAAGCCTTAAACGTAGAGGACTGTGCCCAAGTTTTAAAAATTGAAAGTTGCTTGCTATTTTCTAAACATGTTGCTAAACGACACTCAGTAACATGAATAGCTTCATTTGGAATGCAGCTTCTTACGCAATGAAAATAGGTTTACCATGCGACGTGTTCCTATGATCCTATAGTTAGCTCACTAAAGTAATCGAAAATTGTTTGCATAACTATCGCTGTATAATGTTAATTGCAGTTTCTTCCGGTTAAACATAAATAATAACCTACCTATAGCATAGGCTTTGAAAGCTATTTTTTCTGCATTTTCCATTTAACAAATAGACATCAGTTTTTTATGTGTCTGTCCTCTTATTGACAATAGATAGCGTCATCACATTGTAGTGTGAGGCGTAGCCAAGTGGATCTGCATACTACTTTGACAATGCGATGACGCTATCTATTGTCACTTATGATAAGAGGACAGACACATAAAAAACTGATGTCTTTTTGTTTTTTACAATACCAAAACCGATTAAAAACTTTAATTCTTAGCGATCAAAACAACCAATAGAAAGAGCCCGCGCTCGTTGACGTCATCTTTATCTGTCTGTCCTCTTATTGATGATAAAAGATAACCAATCAGCGCGCGAGAAATTTATGAGTTATCGTAAAAAGTTTAGTTGATTCCTTTATTCAGCAGGTAACGACTGCTATGGTAGCTCCTGTTATTCCTTTAACGCAGAAGGACAAAAGTGGACTGAGAACAGAGAAGAGTGTAAGAAGAAAGGAGGAGATTTGGTCTCTATGGAAACGGATGTCGAATGGACATTTCTCAAGGACAAGATTCAAGGACTTAGCAATGACTTTTACGATGAGTGGCACGTTGGTCTGATAAAGATCGGCACGACATGGAAATGGGTGAGTGGAGCACCTCTGACAATCACTCACTGGCAAAGAGGACAGCCATCTGGGGATGGACCTTACTCTGTAATGGCCAAAAACTATCCTCCAGGGACTCAAGGGGGATTTAACGATCTACCTAATCGGATATACCGTGGATACATCTGTGAGATAACAAAAGGTAATAATTCTTGTAAAACAAATGTTAACATCAGGCAATCGACATAGTCCTTGGATTCTTGGTTACATAGTAGAATTCAAACGAATGCATTATTTTTAATGACGCAGGGGGGAAAAGATCGCCATGGTCAACCGTACCTAGTGGTACCACTCCGACACCACAGCTACCAACAGGAAAAGTAACCTTCGCTTCCACTGCTGGCCCTACTAGTATGGTTACTGGTGCTACTGCTGGTCCTCCCGCAGCTGTAACTGGTACTATTCCTAGCCCTCCTGGTACTGTTACTGGTATTATTCCTAGCCCTCCTGGTACTGTTACTGGTACCATTCCTGGCCCTCCTGGTACTGTTATTGGTACCATTCCTGGCCCTCCTGGTACTGTCACTGGTGCCATTCCTAGTCCTCCTGGTCCTGTTACTGGTACTATTCCTGGTGCTGCTGATTCTGTTACTGGTGCCACTCCTGGTCCTCCTGTTACTGGTGCTACTCCTAGTGCTTCTGAAGCTACTACTTCTACAGCAGCAGTTGGGAACAACAAAATATTTAGGGTTGCAAGGTACTCAGAGAAGGGCAACATGTTACCAGAAGAAACCTTTGTCAAGAATTTACCACCAATAATTTGAAAATTGTGCTTCAAAATCTCTAAAAAAATGACTTCCCGTGTACATTAGCCCTTTCCTTGTGTTTTTCGCCAAAAAACTTAAATCCTCTTTTGGCGCAGGAAGATCCACCCAAACGTAACCGCGTTATTAACGGCATATATCTATCACAGAAGAACCTTATATTAGCCGTTTAGGGATGTTTTGAGAGGTGCTTCTATTTTATACCTAAAGAAACGAAATAAACTTAAACATTGACACGACAATTAATATTTTTTTATCGCATTTCACTATCAGCATTAAGCAAAAGAGACGCCATATATCAGTGATTATGTACGTTAATACAGACCCATGACCCATGATGCAACACGTTGTGCAACTCCTGAAGTTCAAAAGACATGCAGCACGTAGCGCATCCAGGGGTAGTGAATCGAACCCCTGATGGTTTCTCCCTTTTTTAAACCGATAATGTTCTTTAGGCTTATGCAGTAGAACTAAATTGATTAAGTAAATTATAGTTTGTCCTTAAAATGGAAGGAATGTGCAGGAAATCACCGTTTCTGGACTGCCCGGCTCTCATTTTCAAAGCTACTGAAATAAAATTCAAATCTGGCTGCAAAGCACGCATGCGTGAAAGCCTGCATCACCGCTGCTGATCAAGAGCCGGCTCAGCTAAAGATGATATTGGAATGTTTGTTAGCCCAACGTGACTATTTACAAGTTTATCTTTGGTAAAAAGTTAATTAATGAAAACCCACGCAGATACAGAGCTATCTTTACTACTGTATCAGTCGTTAATACTCATTAGGAATAACGAGGACCAAAAGATTGAATATGAGATTGGTTGTAAAACAGCTTTTGTTAAAGATTCATGAATAAATAAATAAATACAGAAATCAGACTGTACGTTTCAATATCGTAAACTACTCTTTCATATTTGCCAATGATGTTTGCTTTGTCATTTCCAAGCGATTATTGCCGTTATCTTAACTTGAAACTTTTTTGCATCCCTTAATTTAGTTTTCTCTTTTCACATTAATCCCATCTTTCGATTCCATTTTCTTCCTTCCTTTTCAGTTCTACGCATTCATTTTTGTCACATCCTCAGTCTTGCATTAAGGTTACTGACCTTAAAAGCCCCTTGAAAAGTATTTTAAAATAAGTTCTTGCGATTGGCACATAATCTTGTATTTGGATGTTCAAATATGAAAACAAATAAACAATGTAAGAGATAAATTACCCACTAAAATGTGTGAAGGAGGAAAAATTGATGATGGTGTTGTGACCCTCGAGATTATTGTCTTCCGGATTTCATGACACGAAAAAGGAAATTGACTTTCATTTCAAAACAACACGAACCAGTGAGTTCACTTGTGAAATACATATTTGCTAAAATAAGGAAAGTAAAACCTGAAGATTTTGAGAGCGCGCGAGCCTTAACTCAAACATTAAATTCATCATTTCATTTTTTTCTTTTTTCTTTTCTTTTAGTCGACCAAAAACTATGGTCATAATTGTTTTAAATAGTCGGAATGATATTAAATTATTCTTGTTGCATCTCAGACATAAGTTATAATAAATTCATCAAATGAACTCTGATATGTTTAAGAGTCCCCTGAAGAGTGCACCACTCGCTATTGGCGAGAAGACAATACGTTGCTTCGTATTTAGCATTTTGTAGACTCTTTATATATACACTCCCGCATTTCGTACGATAGCTTAACAGTGAAGTCACAATACACACTCCTCAGACACCAAGCTTTCGCCGGCAGCGCTATGACTTTTGTCGGAGCTTCTTGGAGTTATACAGAAAATGGTTTCGGTGAGTATAGAATCCTGATGTTATTTTTGTCATTCAGGACTCGGCACTTGAATACTCGATTATTTTGCAAGTAATTTTTTGTTTTAATATGACTAAATAAGCGAGGTGAAATTCGTGGAATTGTTTCAAGATTCTCGCCGTCTAGGTGTTGGTTGTTTCGAAAATTGAATCCTTATACCAGTGTATGATTTAGTCAAATCAATTTCATTCCAAGTAAAAATCATACCGTACACCATCATAACTGTAAAAGTTATCTAATAAAAATGTGACTCAAGAAAAAACACCCCAATTCAATCTATATAGTGAATTTGTAATATTCTAAGCTTTAATGAATTCTGATATGAATAAGTCAAATCCGCTGCATGAAAAATCTGGGTAAAATATTATTTCAATAACTGAAAAACAAAATATTCCCGAAAACGTTAAGAACCTAAAATGTTGGTAATTTCAAAATTTGTGCATGCGAGCAAACATGGTAAACTCTTCAAATAATAGATTAAGATTAACTGTTTTTAGAGCGATTGTACAAGAGTATGTTGCTTCTTCTCGTATATTGTTACATTCGAAAGAGGTTGATAGAAACATGCAGAACAAAAGATCGGTGTTCCTAATCAAAGAAGCTCATACTACAGAACGTTCTTGACGTTTCTATTATTGTACACAAGAGTAATGAAGTTAATGGAGTTACTGAATAAGGCGTAAAGAATTATGAGGCCTGTCAGTTTCTTTTATCTTAATTTTTCACTCCTATAAATGGAATTCTTTACAAAAATATATTAATTTACAATATATATATGTATATCTTTACAAGTCAAGGGATCTGATGAATCATCATGCCACAGTGGACATAGTCAGTATACATCATAGTTGTAATAATAGTATGTTATCCCCAAAAACTGTTATAAAGTTGAAACGATTTCTTTCTAACGTCTTGTTCAGGGAGATTTCTGGTGTTCAGTCTTTATAGTTTTGCCACAATTGTTGCGACAACCGACTTCTTCTTCAAACACTTTAATTTCCTCGCAATCTTGCTTGCACACCTAAATCCTTGATCTTCCAACATGCAATTTGTCACTAACCTGCCTTCTCACCGCACACTACTCAAATGATTAGTACTCTTTTGGAACATTTTTGCTCCTGACCAAACTAAGAGATGATACAATGATTATTTAGATTATGCGAAGCGAAAATTTAGATATCTGACCAGCCTCTCTTACCCGTCTTACCCGGCAACCATATTGTTTGGAATAATGAAGCATGTTGCCCAGGTTGCCTTGTATTCAAGCGTGTGAATGAAGTCTTTTATTTTCATTGTAAAAATGAAAATGGCCGCTTTGTGAATGAAAGGCTCATGCAGTCATGTATCTAAAACATCAAATCCGTCCGCAATGAAACTGTTAAGTGAGAATCAAAATAAAAGCCTTGAGGCACGTTGTCAACTGACATACTGAAAAATATTTATGACATAATTTATTCTATTCCTCAGGGCCTGAACGTTGGCAGAAGCGATACAATAGCACGTCAAGTCTGCTCCAGTCTCCTATCAACATCGAAAAGGCAATTATTGTGAAGGATTCAAGTTTGGGTCCTCTCAGGCTCTCATATGTCCCGTCATGCAACAGTACTATTACCAATGATGGACGTACACTACAGTTGACGATACCCAAGCATAACAACACAAACAGTGAGTCTTGTGTGGAGTACATTTGTAAATGATTAGTTACTTGAATGCATTAGAGTCATGTGTATCAACTTCGCCTTTGTTTTTCCAGTTTATCTTACATGCGATCTTTGTATTCAAACATCTCTGTTTCCATGGTATCAATACTTCCTTTTTCCCTGAAGGTTTTCAAATCAATTTTTTTCTGGTTACCAGAAAATTATATATTTTTGACAACCAATTTCTTCTTTAAATTTCAACGTTCCCAGTTTCCTCTCCATTTTTAATCCTTAGTGCCGTCTTCATTGTATTTTTTTCCATTTCAAGCTTATTTATGTTTCTTAAGTGAAATGCTGTGTTTCTTTATACCCCATTAACACCTAAACATGTTTATTTAAACTATGTTTTCATTAGGAAAAAAATTGAGCAATTGAAAACCTACAATATAATGAAACTTTCTAAAATTAAGTATTGTCGGAGCAAGACAAAGGATAATTAACATGCATTATTTCACCAAATATTGTGCAGTGTTCGTAGATAGTTTTCCAAACCTGTTTAGTTAAACCACTTTTAAACATGTTTAAGCCTTGGTGTGAATGGGGTATTTGCCTTGTATTTTTTGCTAAACAATTTTTAACACTGCTATTCATTCAATCATGATATCTTTGATTTGCAATTGCGTTTGTTAATCAGTCGAGTGTCTCTTCGCTTGTCTTTCTTCCTACTCATTTTATTCTACTTCATTTCTAGCCCTAATTTTTGGTGAATAATTTACTCAAATTTTCCCCTCTATATCATACTACTAACCTATAGAGAATAAAGGTTTCTAAAATATTGCCAATTTTAATTAACTTTTTCTACCTTCAAGTCACAACAAGGTAATTTGGCGATGAAATTCTTTATATTTTTCCACTGCTATTTCCGACAAGTTTACTCAGGAAGATTCTATCACATAAAGACTCTTAAAGCATTCAAAACCCTCTCAAGCTAATGACTATTGGTTTTGCTTCGTCACGAAATGCTTTGCCTTCGGCAATGATTAACTGAGAAGCTTTTGACACTGTAAATGAAAAATGTTGAAGTATATTTTTGAAACGTTATCACGAAAAACCCCGAACGCACGAAAGTGATATTATTTAAATCATGTAAACAAAATGGTAAATGGTTAGAATAAAACTTAACATTTAAAATAACAACTGAGAAAGTACAAAAGTGAAATTATCCGTAATTTAATATGTTTTAGCCTCTTTTTTTAGAATTTTTCGACCCATGAGGATATCGCTAACCTTGATCAAAAGAAAAAATTACCATGGTCGTTTCCGCGCTCGTCAGTTTGATTCATACATTGGAAGCGAACTTGGGGCAAGTCTAGCACATTGCTTGTTTTCTCTTTTCTCTGTGTTTTATAGAAAAAACTAATAAAAGAAAAGAAGAAAAAGTAAATGAGAGTTTTAGTTAACTGGCCTTTTAGAGGAAAAGATGATTGAATCTCTTTAGTACTGAGCTATAAGTAATATTGAAGATATTGTACTATACTCGATCGTGGCTTAAATGCAAGCTTTAAAGGTTTCTTTTCCACATCCTCGGGTTATGAGAAAGTGATTGTCGGAAATTGTAAAAATAAACATTTTGCTTGAAAGAAAAACGAAGGCATATGAAAGGGAAATTGTGATTGTTTTAACATTTTCCGGCTGCAAACAGACTGAAATATTCTAGAAAACTACGTCTAGTAAAGTAAACATCCTTATAAACCGGTCTAGAATGATTTAGAAATACATCATGGTGCTTTAACCTAATACTTGTCATTTATTTTAAATGGCCGCTTTTTATTCATTGTTAATGTCAAAATGTCATTCAATTTCCAAGTAGGTTTTAACAGTTCATAAGAGAATAATAGAAATGAGATTAATTAAGATAGTGAATAAATGTGAAATGAAGTTCTTCATTCAGTTATATATATTATTACTGTAAGATTCTAGTAAACCAATGAAATGCTGCTTTGCGAGCTAGAAAGGAATATCATTGTGCGAGTCAAAACACGAGATACTGAAAAGCATTGTTTTGGTATTTTTACTGCAACAACGTCAAAATAGGCGCAACATAGAACCTTTTATTTATAAAACTATTATTTTTTATGGAAATGCTGGAGACACATAAAGTTGATTTATAGATGTCAAAACAACAAGAAAAGCAAATATTTATAAAACCTAGTCAGAGTGACTTAAGGAGTGACAAAAAAGGTGGGGTGATATGCGAGTGTTAAAATAAAAATAAAAATAAGTTTATATCTGGTAATTCTACTACTTTAAGTGTGATGTTAAGAAATATTTTAAGGAAGTCTTAGAAAAAAACTACAAATTTATTTAATCTTGGCGTAAGTGCCATTTAACTTTTATGAAATATATATCTTTTATTTTCATGTCAAAATTTTTAATTTCGGTATCAGGAGACATTGTTTTATAGAATTCGATTTCATTGACAAAATTTTGCAATCTTTGATGAGTATGAAAGATTCTCATAAAAAAGCTTAAATTAATATTTAGGTGATGAATGTTTTGGTATTTCCAATATTGGAGGCTTTCTAAATAGCACAACTAGTCACCCCTTTGTCCTGTGTTGATAGATTAGATGATAGCATGATGTATCATGCTATCCGGTCCGTAATCAATATTTGATGAATGTGATAACTATCACTAAAGCAGAAAATGAGCTTATCTTGTTACCTGAAAGGGAGCTTTCATAATTAAAAGCGTGGGGGGGGGGGGGGGGGGGGGGGGGGGGGGGCTAACTGTTCATTGGCCATGCTTTAATCATAAACGTATTATTTCTATTGCCTACTCATTTTTTTCATTATTAATATGTAAAATGTTTTACCCAAGATGCCTTGTTGACTTCTATTTAGTTAAGATATATATTTTGATAGTCTCACTCCTTCAGATGTTGGCTGCAAAAATTGCTGCCCCCTTAAATAAACAAAGCCCCCTAGTTCTACCAATTATCAAAGCTACTAAAGCAATCATTGTAATTTCATGGAAGTAAAATGATGAGGTCGAACAAATTAAGGTACGATTGATAAATTAAACCGACAGCGTTTGAGCACAGGTAGCCCAGCTCTAAATATGGCCGTAGAACCATCATAGAAAATCTCGAAATCGATGGACATGAAAACCGGACCTCAAAATTGCTTTGCTTCTGCTAAGAATTTACAAAACTACTTCAAAACTAACTTAGACTTGTTTGTCAGTGAAAAGTGTGTTTTCCAGTTAATTTCACATGAAAAGATACGCCTGCGCACAATATCATCATGCCTTTATATTCTTTTTTTATTAATAACTGCACATCTAAATTGCTTTGAACCTGTCGATGACATTTGAATGAATCATTCTAAATAATTATTTATCCCATTAACCCCACTATCTATCATTATTTCTTTCGACTTTTTTTAGTTCTCTCAGGTGGACCGCTGACCAGTGAGTATCAGCTGGCCATGATAAGATTTCACTGGTCTGCAGATGATAACACGGGATCAGAACATCAAGTGGAAGGCAATGGGTTTCCACTAGAAGTAAGTACCAAAGAAAAGGTCTTTACTGAATCCTATCGAAGCCGAGATAATATGGCATTTCAGGTTAGGTGACAAGTAAAAAGGTTCTCTACTCCACCCGCTTTTCAGTATAAGTCGCGGGGATGTACCAATATATTACATAGCGGCATGAGTAGATGCACTTGTATGTGCGTAACGCAATCTTGCCGATTAGGGGTACGGGATGAGTTATATCGGTCCAAGCAATCAAATTAACACGAGGCTAATGGTCACGGTTACGGTCACTTTTTATGCGCAATCAGAAAATTGTCTTCCAGCTGTACGTAGTTTTTTAAATTTACATTCAAAAATGATAAATAGAAAACAAGATACTGATAAGTGATGAGGATTGGAATGAACGGAGAGGACAACATGCGCATTCCATTATTTTTCGCTTAGACTAAAGCTTAGTTTTTCTTACTAAAGGTACAGTTTCTTCACTGGAATAAAGAGCGTTATGAAAATATCGGGCAAGCGTTAACTGGAGAGGAAGGTATTTGTATACTAGCCGTGCTCTATCAGGTACTAATGCCGACATTTCTAAGAACAACAATACCTCACATTACCCTTCACGTCCATTTAGACTCTTACACATGTCCTTAATGGACCAAATCCACTTGGGCGTAAGATGTTTTGCCCATTTCACACCATGTGCTACTCTCTTGAAAAAAAAAAGATTCTTTGTTTGAGTTGTATCCATATTCATGTGTCTTCCCATGTGCGATCATTAAACAACGAAATAATACTCAAGGGAATGACACGTGGCTTGTAGGGGAAAACAATGGATTAGGTCTATTTGACATAATGGGACGATGTATGGGAGCTTGAGTTGTATTCCATGTATATATACTCTTATATCTTACAATCAATCACGTGACGTTTTGGACTAGGTGACGGGGGGGGAGGGGCAAACAAGTGGTTGACTGAGGGGCAACTAGCGGATGTTAAGTCAAAACATCAAAATAAGCCCTCTAACTATTGTATTTGACTATTTCTACGACATGAAACCAGAAATCAAGAGATCGAAACAACCTACAAAGTTCGACAAGCCATTAAAAACGCAGCTATTACCGGAAGTGACGTCTATTGTTAGCAGCCTATCATACACATTGAAAGTAAATAAAGATTAACGTAATTATTTTACTATTTGTTTTCCTGTTGGGGCAGGTTGGTAACGAAGATCATGAAGGCATGAAAGAAATAACAAAACTTTTAACAAGAATTGATCATAAGGTAATTCTGAGGAAATATTATATTTTTAATTGGAACGCCCAACAGTACAAAAGTCCAATTTTTTTTTGTGACGTCGGACATATCAGAATACATCGCATCCATATCCACCCAACATGCACTTTGCTGGTGCAGCTTGGGAAACTAGTTCTCGGGAAAGCTTTATCTGGTAGCCAAACACCTTAACATTAAATCACTTTTGATATTCTTTACTTAGGGATGTTTTTCATCAGAAGTCAAGACTGCAATTAATCTAGGAGATTTTATACCAGGTAAAGTTTCTATAAAATTCCTTTCTATATGTAATCTTTCTTTACTTTTAAGCATATGAGCCGTGTTAGCATTAGATGTCGCAAATTCAAAGGTTTTGAAGCGGTTCTTCTTTTCTCAGATCATCCTAATTACTGGACATACCAAGGCTCCCTTACTACTCCTCCCCTGACAGAAAATGTGACATGGGTCGTTTGTCAGACAACCATGATCTTATCACCAGAACAAGTGAGTAATCCATCCAACTATATAGCCTTTGCACCATCACGTGATAGCAGCAGGAGGTTTAACAATAGTTTATTTTCCCCTGGGAAACTGAATTTTTTCACATGTGAACCATGCAGATTCAACTATTCCTTTCATGGCTAATCAAGACTAGTCTGGTTGTCGGCCAAAGGAGAACGGAAAAAGATGGACACAGGGTGATGGGTGGACTGCTATTGGTTAGAAGGATGGGTGAGGAAGAGGAGACCAGGAATTGTTTTAAGTAAACCTGACCAAATAGACCTCCGCTTTACCTTGGGCGTAATGGTTTTACCATGTCAGACCACGTGTGATAATGCATGTTCCTGCTTGAGAAAAAGATTTCTGTTTGAGTTGTACCCATATTCATGCCTGGCTTCCCATGCATGCGCAACCTTAAAACAAAGAAATGATACTCTAGCAAGTGACATCTGATCTGAAATGGGAAAACACCTCGTCCAGGGTAGTTTGTTATACTGTTATACTACTTAAGATGCGCCTTTTCATTGAAAAATAATAATAATTTAGTTAGCCAAATCAAACTTTTACTTTTTACTTCATTAAACAGATGGAGGTATTTCGAAGTGTTAAAGCATCAAACGGCGAGGTGATGTCATGTAATTCTAGACCACTTTGTCCTTCAAATAATCGAGTCGTAAGGGAATCGACCGAGATCACAGCCAACGAAGACAACTCCGATGTCATAAATGACGACGAAGAGCCGAGTAAATCTGACGAAAATGAAGACTAACCCCAAAGATAAACTAATAACAATGTGTAACGAAAAATGTACAAGTAGTTAGGATTCCGTTTGTAAACCTTTGTCAAGTAGTTTATTATTCTGTTTGTAAACCTTTGCATGGTCAGAGTAGCGAATAGTTTGTTTTATCATTATTATTACGAGAAATATCAGTTATTGTCAAATGGTTTCTTAGCAATTATTAGTTCTTTTCGATAGTTTTTCCTTCCTTAAGCCTTTAGATTTAACCCCCCCACCGAAATATTGGAGCCGCAATGTTTACAAAATTTAGTGATAGCTAATGCGCATGCTCAAACCAACTGCGAACTGTCATTCGTACGCAGTTGATTTGCATTTGTGACATGTTTTGGGATTAATTTGAGTCGAATGATACTTTATTTTGTCGACTAGGCATGTAAAATACATCAATGAAACAATACTATGATAAAATAAAATGTAAGGTGATTAGTCAAATTGTCGTACAATAATATCTCGATTCTTGATGGCAAAAATGATCAATAATCAACCAAGACAATAAATAATCAATAAATAAATATACGTGTGGTAGGCATTATTTCTTACTAGAACATAATACCAAGGATGACACTGACAACCACAAAATAAAAAAGGTCAAAATTTTTGTTCAGAGCCAACGAACATGCTGAGTTAGTTATGCGTTAGGATGTGACGTAGTGGCCGAGCTCAGAAACGCTGGGCGCTTAATTAATATTCATGATATGTTTAAGCGTTGGATGGAGAGCACCTACAAAATTGAAAAAAATATTAACCATCCGTTCCTGATCAAAAACGAGTTGATTTTGATTCAGGGACTATTCAGAAATCTCCCAACATATCGTATTCATGATATGTGTCAGTGCTCCCAGGTATTCCGTATCTCAGGGGAAGCGTCTTCGATTCATTTAAATACTTTTTCCTATTTTACAGTAGTGATATTAATGCAGTGTTAATCCTGTTAAAAGTGATTTTTTTTGCAACATCGTTACCAACAGCAATAAAAAGACCCAGTCAGAAACAAGAACTAAAGGCCTATGATTTATTTAGCATTTACAATACATTCATAAGTAAAGATGAATTCATATATCTGTAGGAATTATTGAATCTAATTGGCTGACCTTGGCTTTGATTTGAAGGTACGTTAAGCTGATTCAATGCGGCTTTTATATTGATTTTGTATAACTTATTTTTGATTCAATAAGACAAAGGATAAGAATTCAATTCACATTCAATTTCATTTACAACACATACTACCTATTCAAGGCAGCTCATAGTTAACTATGGGCAGCTTGGCTAAAAGTCGTCCCATATTGAATCAAGGAATTACTGTTCTCCTAAATATTACATAATCATAATGCTAAAGATAAGATCTCTATGTGATGGGGCAACATCAAGACAAGCGTATTACTGCTGCATATTTGAGCGGTCTTTGTAATGATGAGTGGCAGCATACGGTACTGCATGACTTACAGCATATACACGGTACGAAATGTCCTTGAACTTTGAAATGGCTTCCTATTCGGCTTTCAGTAATCCATCCAATGACAACGCGTAGTTACGGTTGCTTATAGTTCCCCACTCATACGAAATGCCTTCTTGACTTTCTATACTTGAGCAGGTGCTATGCGATTGCGAAAAAATGACGGCACGGACTCAAAATCGACAAAATACGATTAAGACTTTACCGCGTTTTCGTTTCCTGATTGGATAAGAAGTAGCTTCCTTACTGGTTGGCTTAAATGTCGCCATTTTTGAACTTGACCTTGAACTTTGCCATTATTTTTCATAACCACATAAAATTCGTTACTAGTAAGTATCATTACAGGCACTCAGACTAGTTCACTTGTAGAGAAACTATTAGCAAATACTTTCCAATATCGAATATTTCGATTTTAATTAAAGAAGATCCCGAGAAGGAAAAGAAAAGACAAAGGAACATAACGAAAATATGCTACAAATACGACGCCTTCTAAGATTTTCTTATGCAGTTGCGCTTCTCTAGCTGCATGACGACCTGCATCCTGATTTACTCATGTTACATCTTGTTTAATATCCATTATTTTAGACGTGCACAAAGGATTGTTGGACGAGCCGACCATCCCTTAATATAAAGTAGATCTTGCACAGAGTTCGCACTGCTTCCGGAGAGGGCACAAAAAATGTAACCGCGCTATGATATCCCGCTATGGTTGGCTGGGTCTATATTTGATGTCAATTAGACCTCGACGCGTTGTATGTTAGAATCCAATAAGTGATGTTCAAGCAAATGAAAGATACTGGAAACAGCACTCGCGCATACTTGTCAACAGCAGGTTCCAATGCTTCGATTTCTTTCTGGGAAAAAGATCGTTGTTTGATCATTCTGGGGGTTGGAGGTTCGTTACGTCGGTTTCTCAGTGAAAACTGTAATGGGCGTAGTTTACACTGGCCGTTATTGAAAACAGTTTCGTTTTCAGATATGTAGGTGATATTTTGTTTGTCTCTTTCTTGCTGAAATGCAATAAAAGAAATAAGATTGAAAAACAAACAAACAACCATTAGATACTTTCACTTGGATAAATGCTCAACATTCTTTATGACATGACTGACATTGGCTTTTAGAAAAAAATGTGACCAGTTTGTCATTGCTATCAGTGTCGTACAAATACTGAAAAGCATATGTTTTTTATAATCGTCAGGTTGCCATTTCTAGCCGAGTTCATTAACATGCGGATTTGGGCCTTTTTACTCTACCACCCCAACTTGGGTAGGGGTGTGCTACCAGGACCTCGAAACCCTGACCCTATCCCAGGCCTAAAATTTTGATTTTACATACCCAATCCCAGACTAAAACTAAGAATTGTACACCTATCCCAGATTAAAACGACATAATCGTAACCCTATCCCAGACAAAAATGATACCCTATCCCAGACAAAATGTCAAATTTTTGGATACCCTATACCCCAGACCCAAAAGCCGAAAAACCATACCCTATAGGGCGGCACATACCCGTATAGCAAATATAGGGGAGTACCCCCGCCCCCACGGTTTTTTACTTTTACCAACATAAAATATATTGTGAAGCGTCGACAAATTTGGTATGTATATGCTATGTACGTTGTAGTTTTATATGAAAAATGGCAATTTTTGGGGTCAGTTGTCCTTTAAGAGAACTATCTTAATTATCTAAAATATCTAAATTGTTTAAAAAAAAATTATAGTATGAAATCCATAGTATTGTTTTTGCCTTGAATTTGTTTGAAAATAAACACGATCGACAGGATCGTGAAGATGTACATCATTTGGGAAAAACATCTTTGTTATGTAGCAAGTATAACTAAATCATATGTCAATCCATTTTAGTTATTAACCATCATCAGGTGACATAGGGAATTTTAAGGGATGCCAAAAAGAAATTTAAACAGTTATGCTGTCTACAATCGTCAAATGGAAACTTACTAGTTCTTGATCGTTCGTAGCGGGAATTTGTATACCCTTTCGTAACTTCTTCTTCACTTCATAGGAGACGCATCCAAACTCCACCAGAGACATAAAGACATATGTAAAGCACATGATAAGAAACCATTCGATTGACTTTACGTAACTGACCTGTTAATAATAATTGTGAATTGTAAATTATTTTTATTTGCATTCATTTTATCTGGGGTTAACCCTAGACTGGATTGATTGCCAGCTTTGGTCTTGAGATATGAAGCCATATATACAGCACATACTGGTAAGAAGCCATTCATTGAGTGAATTTAAATAAATTACGGAGAAAGAGTTTTTTTGTTCAAATTCTATTTATCTCTGCAATCAGCGCACAAATCGACAAACGAGCGTACGTGCGCATTATATTCACCTGTAAGTGAATATTTAACAATTATTCGCCGAAGGCGAATTGAATATCGGGGAATATTTACCGAGACGCGAGGTAAATATTCCCCAATAATCACTGAGCCTGAGGCAAATAATTGTTTTAGTATAAATACACAGGTGATTCTTTCAAAAAAAGAAAAAAGAAAAAAAAAAAGAAAAAAAAGGAAGATAAAAGGCTTTTTTCCCCGGTAACAGCAGCAAAGCGGCGGGCCGCCATTTTTGGATTTTCGCTCGAGGTGATTATCGTGTGATAGTGTGAGTTCCTTGACCAATCAGCGCGCGAGATTTTCTATAATCACCTGCGTATTTTTACTAAAACAGCATAAGACGTAAATTGTGACCAACGAGTCGTATGCCTGAAGAAACCTTCATCAACACCATGCCCGCGCAACGTCTGATAATTTATATGATTTATTTGATAAAAACTATTATTTTACAAACCTTTGGTAAAGAGGCGCGTGCGCTGTTAGTAAGGGTTGTCATGGTGAGGACAGTAGTTATTCCCAGGCCTATTCTCGCAGGAGTTGAAGTGTAATGTATCCAGAAAGCAATCCAGCTTAGCATGACGATTAGGTAAGCGGGAATGTAGGTTTGGATTAAAAAGAATCCAATACTACGTTCAAACTTGAATATCACTCTTAGTCTAGAATATGAACCTGCAAACACAATATAAAATCAAATCACGCGTAAACTGTGTCAATAGACCTCCTCGGCGCGTAATGCTTTCCCATTTCAGACCACGTCTTATTTCCTAGAGTATCATTTCTTTGTTTAACGGTTGCACATGAGAAGAGACATGAATATGGATATACAAATAAATAATCTTATTCTCAAGGGAATGACAAGTGGTCTGAAATGGGAAACCATTACTGAGCCGAAGAGGTCTATAAGTAATGCCTGCAATAGCCTATGGCAGAAACGAGTGGGGTTCGGCACCTATATTTTGTTGAAATACCTCCTTGAGTAGACTTCTATATCCATTACATATTCACCAATTAAGTAAACGTCCCGCAATCAATTACAACGTGTGTTGGGACGCACGCTAAACCCAACTGATATAATTATTGTTGGGTTGCAGTCATTGCTAAGTGTCAAAACTTGAAGACATGGTGGCCATGATGTTGGTAAATTGGAATATTTCATTAAATACCACCAACATGGCCGTGATGGCGTTACGTGCAAACGAAGAATTGAATAAAAAGAAAAGAAAATCATTTTACCTGTTGTAAAGTTGGCCAGTTCTGAAGATGTCGAATATTCTGTTAGAATAAACTGTGGAATTTCCAGTTCGTCTGATACTACAACCTCTTTATTTCCGCTTTCTTTCCTCCATTTGAAGCTGAGTTCTGTGATAGGGTAGCTAACTGGTAAAACAGGTTATCAAAAACAGGATGAGTTCAATTACGGGCAGCAAACAGCAAATAGAAAAGAATTAATACATTTTTAATAATTAAAAGATAATGATAAGAATGGAGGATTGGAGGTAAAGTACTGAGAATACTTACAACTTTCAAACTCTAATTTACAGGTCTGCTTGTCCATTGGATAGTTGTGAAGTCGCATCGGGCAGGAAGCTGTCATGGATAACCTGATTGAAAAGTAACAAAATAAAAAGTAAATCAAATAAATCTATAATGAATATGTTTTTTGATATTATGCAATCAAGTTATTTCGATTTACGGTGGCATTGTCTGTTTTTTTTTTTTTTTGTTTGTTTGTTTTTTTTTT